GCGCCCGTGATCTTCTTCAGCTCCTCGCGCCACTTCGTCACCAGTTTCTCATCCCACTGTGGCATTCCTTGGGTCCGTAGGTCTCGCCCACCTTCACCGCCGCAGGGGACTGGTTGCAGAAGCGTTCCCAGGCCCCCAAGATTGTCCTCCCCAAGTTTTGCAGCGTCGGGAGGCCTTCTACCACTTCCGTTGGGTTCTTCATGCCCCCAACGAACTCCTGTTGGCCCAGTTGCTGCTCCTTCTTCTTCTCCTCCTTCAGCAACCCATATTTTCCTTCTCCTGGTCTCCACTTCAAGTCCGCTTTATCGTTCTGGTCCTTGTGCTCCGCCGTGCTGTCCTTCGCCCTGCGGTCCTCCTTCCCTCGTTCCTCCTTTATACCCCTCCTGGATCTGGACCTTTTCCTCGACTCTGACCTTCTCCTTTGCCTGGCTCTTTCCCCCTTCACCTCTTCCTCTTTCCTTCTCGGCTTTCTGTCTGTGCTCCTCCTCTCCCTGCTCCTTCTTCTCTCTGCCGTTCCTTCTGCTTTCCTCCCTTCGTCGTGGCGTGAACTTCCGTGACCGTCTTCATCCATTCTCCTCCTCTTCCATCCCCCTTCATTCCTCTGTTGTGTCTTCTCTGCCTTCTCGTTTTCGGGGGTTGGAGAATAACGGACCCCTTCCTTCCTTCTCTTCTCCCTCATCTGAGTCGCCGCCGCATCACTGGTGGCAATGCCGTCGTGACCCTCTTCCTCCTCCTTCAACCTCCCCTCCAGGTATTCTGCCGTGGCCATCTTCTCAAAGTGGTCCATGAGCAATACCGCGTAGCTGTTGCACAACTCCCATGAGTATTCGCCCGACTCCTGCGACTCCTTCTTCCCGACTATCGGCCTGTGCCTGCTGTTGCCGCATTTGCACTCCCTGTTCAAACTCTGGATGCCGAAGAGCGAGCCTGCAAACTGCTGCATCTTCCAGTGTCTGTCGCCTCTCGCCCTGTCTGATTGGTATGCGCATGTGTTGAACAAGGAGATCTTGATGCCAGGCAACCTCAGGTAGCCGATGACCTCAGCCATGCCCCAAGCGGACACGTGTTCTTCCAGCTCTGATGGCGGCGGGTTCTCGAGCGAGGTGACTTTCGGAACGATCAGGGAGGTCTGGGATTTCATCACCTCCTCTGCCATCTGAACTGATCGAGCCATCATCACCGTTCCTCTGTCGCACTCCCTACGTTGTTGTTCGTTGTTCGAACTCCTTCCGTAGGGTTCGGCCCGGGTGCGAACATGCAGGTTCCGGGAGGTTTGGCCCTGCCCTGAACCTCAGACGCGAAAACGTCGAACAGGGGAATCCTGAATGGAACCCGTCGATCAGGCCTTCCCGAGCCCATCGTAGATGCGCGTTGTAGGGCTCGTCTGCGCACAAGTCGTCACCCCAGTCCTTCTCCACCGCGATGACTTCCACGTTGAGGTCCCTCTTTTTCGCCACCCTGTGTATCTCCGCGCCCAACGGGTCACGAGGTCCTGCAAAGTGGTGGACGAAGCGAAACTTCCTCCTCCGAACGTAGGCCTTGAGCTTCTCCTCCAGCTTCTTCTTTGCTTCTTCGCTCACTTCCCCACCTTCTTCACCTCCAGGATCATCCCCGCCTTCCTCCTTTTCTTCCTTCTTACCTTCGTCACCGCCTGGTTCTTTGTCTCCGGAGGTCTTCACTTTTTCGTCGGACATTTGATGGCCGGATGACCCGGCGAACCGCGCGAAGAGCATCGATGCCCCCGCTTGATCGAATTCATACACTCCGCACCCGGTGGGAGTGCCCCGCATGGTGAGTTCCCATTGTTCCACGAGAAACAGATAGATTCGCTCTGCTTCCCTCCTTTTCCCTTTCGCCCGGCGCCCTTCCCTCCTTGGCCTCGACCGTAGGAACCTTCATGTCGTCCTTCTCGGAGTCGATGGAGTTCCTCTCTTTCTGCGTGCCATTTTCTCTTCTTGGCCTCTCGTCTTTCTTTGTTGACTTGCTTCCTGGTCGAACTGGAGGCTGATGGCGACGCTGTCCCAAATGTTCCTGACTCCATCGATGGTTGTAGTGCCTCTGCTCCTCCACGCAAGGGTCCTTGGGCGACCGTCTCCTGCGGGGTGAGCGCTTTTCCTTTTGAGCCGCTCGCTAACCACGTAAGGGCCGGACCATGAATCTGGTCCTGCCAAAACTTCAGTTCGCCCGGAATCATTTTGAACACTGTCTCCCATGGTTTCTTCTCGTCGAAGAGCGATGGGATCGGCCTGCCTTCCTTCTGGTCCAGGTTGATCTTGATGCGGAGGCGTGACAATAGCTCTGACCTTGCCATCTCGTCGGCCGAGTACACCAGGTGCCAGGCGTCGGGGTACAGCCTTGTCAACTTCTCCACATAGAGCTCGTAGGCGTGTAGTGGTGCCAAGGTGCATTCCTGCAGCATCAACATGGCTGTAGTGAACACCCTGTAGCAGGCCCTCCACTGGGTGAAGTTCGCAGGTCCTGGAAGCTCCTTCGACACGTAGCCCTCTGCCGTCGGTATCCATGTCCTGTACTTCGAAGCTCTCAGTGCTTTCCGCCCGAACGGGACGAAGACGCCGAAGTCGCAGTAGGGAGGTTTGCCCAAAGCCAGCTTCTTCTTCAAGGCGCTGAGCTGCTCGATGGTTGGTTCCTCCTCCTCCTCCGGCATGGCTCCCGTCGTGTTGACGTACCTCTGCAACAGAACCATCTTGTCCTCCTCGTTGAGCACCTCGAACTCCCCATCGTCTCCTTGGTCCAAGACCTGGGTGAACTTCAATGTCCTCTCCTTCGACTCCTTGGTGGACTCCCCCGGGCTTGTCGCTTCCCTTCTCGCCGAAGACCTTCCCGGTGATGTTGGCGTAGGCGACCAGGGGTCTTCTTCCTCCCAATTGTCCCAGGTACCGCCACCTTTCACAAACATCAGACGCCTCGCCAGCTTCCACACCAGTCCCACTTGGGCCGCCTGAATAGCCGACAGGCGAGTGTCGCCCGGCAAGGTGGCCTGAGAGAGGGCCACCGCCACCAGATTCCCCGGCAAGGCAGCCAACAGCCGAATGTCGTCGTTCGGGTTCCCGGCTTCCTGGATAAAGGCCTGCCACAAATCCGGGGGCACTCCAAAGTAGTCCCTCAAGTCCATCAGAGTGCGCATCTCGAGCGCTGCCGCAGCCGCCGGGTACATGGCGGGCCGCGAGCGTCACCACCCACCACAAAAACAACATGGTGGGGCCAGGGCTTGAGCCAAAATGGCGTACTCAGCCCTGGCCCCACCCAGCACACCAAAACTTGTCCTACAGAAAATGTGCCATTTTCTTCCACAAAATGTCTCTCACAAAGAGCTGCGCCTGCCACTGCAAACCGCCTTGGCAGCGCTGCGCGATGTGAATCTGGATGTGCAGATTTCGTGGCGCGCGCAGCACTTTGAGCATCTCCAGTGGCAGATTTCGTGGCAGGAGCAGCACTTTGTGCCCTGGAACTGCAGATTTCGTGGCCTGCGCAGCACTTTGATCACCTCTAGTAGCAAAGGACCAAGCGACCAGGGAACCAGCAGACCAGGACCAAAGGAGTAGGGGGAATTTTATTGTTGATACGAATTAATGTTTTTTTGATATCAAATTTCTTTTTGATAGGAATTATATAATTTTCTTTATGATAGGTATCCCGAGGTGGGAAAAAGGCTCATCAATGGACTCATCAGCTTTAGCAAAGCCACCATAGAATGCCATAGATAATGATAATAGATATCTCTCCCGGAGCGGGGGATTGAATGAGGCTTGAGGAGTCTTCCAGGGTATCGTACAATGGCGGGGCGAGGAAGAGAGAAACATCAACAAGCATCCTGCAAGCGACCCTGCAAGCGACCCTGCAAGCCATCATTATGAATTTGTTTATCGTATCCTGTCCCTGGACTCATTGCCACTTCTAACCTCTGTGGCATAGTTGAAGTAGTCTCCAGGAACTGGAGAACTTTGTGGAACAAACAGCCATGGTATATCATGAAAGTGGTAGCTTCAATGCTTGAGACGCGTCTTCTTTTGTGGATATGAACTTGGGCACGGAAGAACCATTCCACGCTAGAGACTGAGACACATGTTTGCACATGATATTTGAAACGACCTCAAGGCCTTGGGCGTCACAAGGGTTTCACAACGGCGCAAGCAGCGAAGATCACTGTCTACCTTCGTCGCCGTTGTACATTGGGTGGGCGCTCTGGCTGTTCTTGGCATTTTTGGCCATTGTTGTTTGTCATTGCAATTGTGGCCGCCAGTGTTGCCACTGTCGTCGTCATCGTCGCCGTCGCCGTCGTTGTGGTTGTGGTTGAGGTTGTGGTTGTGGTTGTGGTTGTTGTTGTTGTTGTTGTTGCTGTTGTTGTTGTTGTTGTTGTTGCTTTTGTTGCGGTTGTTGCTGTCCCTGATGCTGTTGTCATTTTGAATTGTCATTGTCACAACATTGAAGAGTCGTGTGATTAAATTGGGCACACAACACTGCCATCATTTATACAATATTGTCCAGCTGGCCACTTTTGCAAAAGGGCGGCTGGAAACTTTGGGGAAACTCTCCAAAGGTTCTAGACCAGCTGCCCCATTTACACCTGGGAAGCGGAACGCTGAGGCTGCTGTCAGTCGTGTCAAGAAATCGACGCGGCGCAGCACTTTAGGAAGAAGCATTGCACGTGGATGTTGATGCGCAGCCAATAATGTTCGGAAAACGAGAGCCAAAAAGCTAGACATCCAAGACATCCAAGACGGTCTCTGGGTGTGAGAAAAGGTGGTTTATCCAAAACGCAGCCTTTCACGACGATGTTTGAACGTGATCCCTGCTATTGGGAGAACCCTCCCAATTTCCGCTTGCCCTAACACTGTCAGAGCTCTGCGTTGCTGTCATTGCCTTTGTCATTGCTGCGGTCTTCATCATGCTTGTTCTTGTTGGAGAAGAGACATTGGGCCAGCCACTGGCAGGAAATTTGACACAACCTCAAAATGACACTCAAGTCAAGAGCCCCCCGCCGTATCTGGCACTAGTTTCTTCGCTGCGAACTCTTGTAGAAGTTCAAGAACATGTTGCCACTCATCCTGCAGCCGCAGCCCAAAACTAAGCGAATCCAATCTAAGCGCACAAAGCAAACGAACATGGACATGAATAAGCGAGGTTGGAATGGTCCGGCCCACACATTTCTACTTGATTGCCAAGTATGACAGCCTCAGATGCCATGCTTACAAGCTGGGCCAGCAAACCACAACAAACGCACGAGGCCACGGCGTCCAAACTGGCCTGCAACTCTTGGACAACCCTGTGACTCCTTCAGAATACTATGCTGCGTCAAACAAGAGAATTCGAATAGTTATTCATGAAGGTCCCCAGAGATAGGATCAAACGCTTTGAACAAAAACGCCATGATTCAAAATCACGTTTGACATTGAAGTCGGGGCTGCAGGCAGCGAAGTAACCCTTCTTCGTGCATGAAGTTTGATGGGAAAGGCGGTACCCAACCAAGGGAGTATTCACATTGATGTCACATGGATCGCGCCCGAAACGTTGCGGAAGGCAAGGTGTTGAACGAAGCGTTGACGCGGCTACTCTGTCAGTAGTTTTCTGAGTATTTCTCGACAAAAACAAGGAGCTTTGATATTTTGCGGGTAGCAGAAGGTTAGACGAAGGAAGACGAAGGGCTTGGTGAGGGCTCGATGAAGGGAAGATTCCAGTCTAAGAGTCTAGGACGATGAACGCGAGTGTGACGGCGTCTCGGCATCTTCAGGTCATTGCAAGCAACGCCCATGTAGAGGCGGCGGCACCTGCTATACTTCTCCTGCCGAAACAATAATTACTTGCGAGGCGACTGGCTTTAAGACATCCCGGTCCTCTAAAACCATTGCCTCACCTATGGCGATCAGGAAAATCATCCCGGCCAAAGACCCCAAACAGTGTGTCTAAAGGCCTCAGAAGTAGAGATCTAGACAGTTGGGCCCCACAGACACGTGGCGATGTGTGGTGATGGTGGCGGTGGCGGTGGTGATGAAGGTGTCTAGAGGCGGAAAGAGGTGTCTACAGAGACTAGGAACACGCCGGCCCCGCTCCGCACCATCACCACCACCACCACCGCCACCACCATCGCCACCACCATCGCCACATCCCCCTGTGAATTCCACCTGACCTTGAAGGGTGTGCGTTTTATAATAGATATAAAACGGTCCCCCCAGGTTCTGCACTATACAATCTGCACACCCAAGGTAGAAAAGAAGGGCTGCACATAGCCCATGCTTAAAAACTGGACCACTGTAGAATCATCTGCAAAATGGTCCTCTATAGATTCACCCACCCTAATGGAAATCCAGGTCGATATAGTTGATAACATAGAGTAGGTGGCCTCATTCTTTAGTGACGCCCAGGGTTCCCCCAACCACGATACGGACAAGGTCCGATTATCTCCGACGCATTCCGACGCAGATTTTTCAACTTCACGTTTCCTGAGTTTGTCGCGCAAAAAAACACATCTTCCTTCTTCCCACATGAACATGAACCTCCCCCACACATGTCCACAAACACCAAACACATCCGCAGCCACAAAACACAGCACGTGTTTTCACACAATGGCTCTCCTTCCTAACAGCCACACACTATAGAATCAGGTGTCCATGGGTTCTTGAAGGCTTCCCTTCCAATCAACCCAAATTCTCTTCTATAGAATCAGTGCCTTTCACTTACATGGGCTGAGTACATCTATTTCTGAGATTGTGTCCACAGCTCTAGAACTCCACAAACAGATTCAATCACAAAAAGGACCATCCCTCAAAGCAAAAACACATTTTATAGAATCGCAAACCATGGCACACCAGATCATTCATCTTCCTCCCCGAAAGACACATCTTCCTTCTTCCCACATGAGCATGAACCTCCCCCACACACATCCACAAACACCAAACACATCCACAGCCACAAAACACAACACGTGTTTTCACACAATAGCTCTCCTTCGTAGCAGCTACACACTATAGAATCATGTGTCCATGGGTTCTTGATTCTTGATGATCTCTAAATAATCAAACTACCCAGGGTTACGTATAAGAGCCGTCATCAAAATCCTTGCCTCTATAAAATCCATGCACCCAGGGTGCATATTGCCCTAAAAAGGTGGTTTCTACAAAATGAATTTTGTAGAGAACCACAGTTTTTCCTCTATAGAATACCCTCTATAGAATGCACCAAAATGACCTGCCAAGTTGCATGGCTCATAGAGGAAATTCACATGACTATATCGCAACCATGAGCACCATCACCACAACCATCACCATCACCATCATCACCACCTTCGCCGTCACCATCATCACCACCATCGTCACCGCCACAGACGGAGACAGACGCACCGAGACAGAGCCCTCAGTGAAGGGGCTGGGTTTCTTCACGCTTGACATTTCCTCCCGACTGCGAAAACACAAGTTGCTAGTTCCCGGCTCCGCGAGTGCAGGTTGTTGCCGAGCTGATAGGGTGCTCATGACACACTTTTCCCATGCATGTCTGGATGTATGTTTGCATGTATGTATGTTTGTACGCGTGGATAGATGTCTACGTCTGTTTTCCCTTTACTCTGCGCGGGCGGTTTCGACCGCGAAGCGGTGTGAATACAAAAAAGTAAAACAACCCTGAAACACACTTATTTTGCATGGTTCTACGTCCTAACTGGCCCTGGTTCCCAAACGAAATACGCAGATGAGGGCCACAAGGCAAAACACACACTTAGGATAGGGTGTACTGAACTGAAAGCGGTGCCACACGCCGGCCTAGGGTTCCATTTCCTAAGGGTACAGGTAAGGAAACCTAAAAGGAAGAGGAGGTCCATCCAGCGGAGGTCCCAAAGGTTTCAGGTGGCCAGCAACTCCAAAAGATCAAGTTCACAATCTGAGGTGAATCGCCGCTGCATTAGACGCTTACTGCAAAACACAGAAGTGGAACAGCTTGAGCTTTACGTAGGTTTCTCTCCGGGCAGGTACGTCTGGCTGATCAGGCCAGATATCCGCATGTACTGTGGGCGCTTCGTTGGACCATCGCGCACAGTACATGGATGGTCCCCCTGCTCTAAAAGCAAAACTAATCCGAAAGGATCCCTATGAGTCCAAGGGTTACACACACACACGCCTCCCCGAGGGGAGGCAAAATTAAGGCTAGGACGAATGTGCAAATGTGCGCGCAGAAAGGACAAAAGGATGAAGACACGAAAAGGAAGACAGACAGGACAAAAGTGTGTGTGGTGGCAATGAAAGGGAAACCAAGTGCACAGGGACAACCGATGAGCCCACCTCATTGTCGAGACCTGGGCAACCTAACACCTGAGTTGAAAGTAGATGCGTGCGTACACACTAAGGCCCGGACCATTGTACGCGCAAAAGAACGAAAGGAGTGAGATGAACGGACATGAAGCAAGGGAAGACATGAAAAGAAAGAGGAAAAGAAGTGTGTGAAGGGGAAAAGGTGAAAGGGGAACCAAATGGAGGGGACGGGAACCGATGAAACCATACCTCATTATAACAACCTAGGAAGACCTGCCTCGTTGAAGTGTGTACGATGTATGTGCACCTAAGTGTCCAACAGGTTCCAACTTCGGTATCCCGCGGCACTTGTGGACTTATAAGTAAGAGTGTAAGTGTACTTAAGGGAGGTTAAGTGGGCTGGTAAGTAGGTTAAGTGGTTCACAAGTTCAATTTTTTTCCTTACTTATGATGGAGATAGCTACTTACCGCCCTACTTATAAGTAGGATGCTGTTGAAGTTGAAAAACGTCGTTTCTACTTACGATAGTACTTAACCTACTTAGCTTTTTGTATGTTTTCAAGATGTTTTTAAACATATGTCTAAAACAAAGTCATTTTGCAAACATTTTTGATTTCACGTGCTGGGCAGTTTTGGCTCACAGGCGCGTTACGTTGGGTCGGAAGCACCTCCATTTATTTTTCCGCGTATGGCGGGTGCTTTTGAGAAGGCAATGGTTGCCGGCCAGAAATTTTTAGAAGGCTTGCGCAGCCTTCCGAGCTACAAGGACGCACAGCAGAAGCAGCTGCGAGCGCTCTTGAAGCAGTTGGATTCGGTCACTGACCTGACCACAGGTCAGTCAGGCAAGATCTTGTCAATGCTGGATGAGAAATTGTGGGACCACGAGTCTCTACAGCAGTTGCGGCAGCAAATAGCTGACAAAACTGAGCAAATCCCCGGGGAGGCTCAAGGCAGGAGGTCATTGCAGGATTTTGTTGAGTTGCCGAACTATCTGACAGATAGCCTGTGGCAGACGCTGTTAGACAGAAAAACCTCCGGACAAGAAGCATTAGAGCTCGTATGTCAGCATGCGGCATTGTTGGGCCTACGTTTGCCTTATGAGAGCACGATGGCCATGCTGTTGACTTTGGCATATCAAGGACAAGCATTGGCTATGTCCGGCAAAGCGAAATTCCATCTACAGCAAAAACAGAAGCCGCTCATCAGGAAGCTCTTGGCTGGTCCTCGGCCGCTGATCTGGTTGACGCCACTGCCAGCAGAATGGACCGATTTGCCTGCCGAGCGCAGGGAGCGAGCGTTTCCTGGCGGGGCAAGACCGGCGCCCATCCCGAGTGGATGCGTCGATTTTGGGGGCGTTGCTAAGCAGTGGCCGGTGCGCAACACTAACAGACTAGTGTGCAAGGGCGACGCAGGGAGTTCGAGTGTGACCGCAGGCCCTTCAGCCCTGGAGAAAATGGCAGACGCCGTCATGTCTACGGCAAAGTTGGCCTGCCAGGCTGCGAGCTTGGTAGGAGTCGAACCGCGTGAATACAGCACTTCTACGGGAGCGCGGGGCGCGACCGCTCAGCAGCCTATAGTACTGGCGATCAAAGACAAGGAGGCGGAGGCGACGAAAGACAAGGACGCGGAGGAGGGGGAGGAGGAAGTGCGCCAAGCAGACCACACGAGGGAGACGCCGGACGACGAGCCTAAACGTGATCTGCGCGTTCCCCAGCCATCTCTGCAGGAGAAGCTGCGCGCTCTGCGGGGTGAGCTAGGCACGCGCGCAGTGAAGCGCGAGCGTGAGAATCCGGGTCAAGAGTCGGATCCAGGGGGGGTTCTTCGGCGCCCAAGTGCTCATCGTCGACCCAGTGCTGGCCCCAGCCAGATGCGCAAGCCCACTAGTGCCAGCTGCGGCAAGAAGTCCGGACCCTCCGGGGACGGACCAGATACCTGCAAGCGCTACGCTTCCCGCTGCTACAATGCGGCCCGGAAGCAGGCGCTGAATCGTGGCAAGGGTGCGGAGGCTGCCTTGGAAGCGGCGAGGAAAGCCCACCGC